TGGAGTTAGAAGACTGGAATTTTGAGGGGATGTTTCCTGACAATGCTGGCGACCAGTCTGAAATTCTTTCAGCTAGAAGCATCTGCCGGTAGCGACAAAAACTGTGGGGAACTCTGCAAAAAACGCATCTTCGCACGGGCAGCTCGTGCGTTGGCCATTTATTGTAAGTGCTGGGGAGCCTCGGCCAGTCACTGTATCTTTTTTCTGATCAACCGCCGATTGCGGGAGCTTTGCCAGACACAGTGGAGATACTGGCTGAGATATGTATTTAAAAGATATAAAATTATATGAATAAATCGGATGAACAGGAATGTTTCGATCCATGAAGTTGTAGATATTCATAGTGCTGTTGGCCCCCTTCCAAGTGCCTTTCAAGAAATGAGCTATCATCGACCAACGAAGTTAAAAATATAGCAGCAAAGATTGCAGCATTTATCGCGCAGTTTTTCCTGAAGAACTAGAGTTATGTCAGGTACTTACTCCCTCAGCTTTCTTAATGCTTATCCCTTTCTGTCACGCACCAAGCTCCAGCTCTCTTGTTATATATAAAAGGTGTGTTAGTGTTATGATGAACTTCTGTAATTTAAATTTAGATATTTTGTGGTTTTGGAAAAGGTCGTAAAAAGATAAAAGTAAAAACAAAAGTGAAAATGAAATATGTAACTCATCGCAGTATAATTATTTGCTCAATAAATAATATTTCCCCTAAAAGGACAAATAATAGAAATGAAAGTGGAAGAAAACTTCGAAGCTACAACATAAATATGAGTTACCTAAAGAATATTGCTACAGGTACTTCGGCAAACACTTTCCTGCCGACCGTCGTGGGGTGCGTCGCGCCGATCCAGTCGGGTACTACTTCCACACTACAGTCACTGTAAACGAAAACGGTCAAATTCGGTATCATCGTGTATGAACAAGGGGTTAGTTTCTGACACATCCCTATGAATATTGCCAGATTTGCTAGGAATCTATGAATCTCCTATGAATTTTGCCTGATTTGTGTTGGCGGGCTTGCCGCTTTAATAGTAAGACTCATATCGATGGTTCAGGTTTGGTCACTGTGAAATATGGAGTTTTCTAGTTCCATACCCTTGCATGAATATATGAAATGGCTCTTTGTCACTTCACTTTTAATCTTCTGCAATGATTAAGCCGGCATCAGCTCTGCCTTGTGCTTACGTCCCTGCACAATACTCCATAAATTTGGGTTAACAGATCGGGCCTGTGCTGACCTCTTAACATCTCGTAGGTACCATTCGATAAAGCGTTTCGTCCATTTGTTGTCTGTTGTCTTTGTCACAGCGGTTCAGTTTCTTTCACGTGTTTTTCATTAATCTTTTCTGTGATAAGTTGCTATCACTGTCTGCTAAGAGGATCAGATCTTTATTTGACTTTCTTCTAAGTGACCTTCGGAAAAAGCAGCCCTGTTGGCAGATTATAGCTGGCAGTTGGGTCTCCACACTCATAACGAGAAGAATGTTGCCTTCCGACTGGGTCTCCGTAGGCGGCACAGATGTCACAGGGCCCGTTTGATGATGGGTGCATTGCGTGCCATTGCAGCTGAAAGAAACATTTCAGAGTTCTCATCCATCACGGAGCTGCAAGTACAGC